AGAGATGTATTCCTTATGATAGTGCATCTTGAGGCCCAGAACCTCCTAACACGTTGAAGTTAATGCTTCTTTGATACTTTTCCATTTTTCCTCCATAGTAGTTTCTTCTTCCTTCAGTCGATCCTGTAAGGCTTGGGACCTGTTGTTGAGAGCCATCTTGAATTCATTGAGTTTGTCAGTATCTCGAAGGAAGGCTGTATTGAACCTTTGTAATGCTGTTTGTCCAGTTCTTTAGCTTCAGTTTTAAATTGGCCACAACTAGGTGGTGGTCTGAAGCTATGTCAGCTCCTCTCCTGGTTCTCACATCATCCATTGTCCTTCGGAACTTTTTATTGATGCAGATATGATCTATCTGGTTCTCTGTAGTGTATTCCGGTGAGATCCATGTAGCCTTGTGTATACGTTTGTGTGGAAATATTGTGCCTCCTATGACCAATTTGTTGAATGCACACAGATTTGCAAATCTTTCTCCATTTTCGTTTCTTTCCCCCAGTCCATGTCGCCCCATAATATCTTCATATCCGGTGTTGTCTATTCCGACTTTGGCATTTAGATCTCCCATCAGAATGGTAAGGTCCTTTCTTGGGCATTTCTCTATGATTGACTGCAGCCGCTCGTAGAATTGATCTTTAATGTCGTCGTTGCTATCATTGGTGGGTGCATAACATTGGATAATATTCATTTTGATTCCCTCCTCCTTTGTTTTGAATGATGCTTTGATGATTCTGGATCCGTGAGACTCCCATCCTACAAGTGCATTTCGTGCTACTTTGTGCAGCATTAGAGCAATTCCTTGTGTGTGTGGAGCATTTTCCTCTTCGTGACCGGAGTATAGCAGCATCTCTCCCGTAGCTAGCCTTTTCTGTCCAGCTTGGGTCCAGTGGGTTTCGCTGATTCCCAGTACTGCGAATTTGTATCTCCTCATTTCCGTTGTTATTTGACTGGTCTTCCCGGTTTCCTACATTATTCGAACGTTCCATGTACCTATAAAAATTGTTGCTCTAGTTGTTAGAAGGGGCATCGGCCTTGTGGCTTCCGAAGGAAATCGGCTTTCACCATGAAGCGTCATAATTCTTCTAAATGAAGACCTTCTAACTCCCAGGGCAGAGTTTCAATGGTGTGAATTATTTTTTCAGGTTAGCGTTTTTAGCGAGTTAGTTTTCTACGGGATGGGGACGCTAACCCCATGCCCAACCCTCCTCCTTTACCCGGGCTTGGGACCGGCAGTAACTCTAGAAGAGCTGCAGGCGGAGTTTTAGTTGATTTTAGCCTACATGATATATAGATTATCTTCGAAATAAAAAAATTCACAATGGGTTTATAAATCATTACATCTGTGCTATTGAGACGAATTTCAGCTTATACAACTTTTTTGATTTAATTCTATGCAGTTTACTAATTTCAGTTATGTTGTCAAGTCAGTAGCTATCAAGTTTCAAACAGATAGTACTATTTCATTATTCTATAAAAACGTCACCGTATATTTTGTGAGACCATATTTATCACTGATCTATAATTAGAGAGCACTTGGAATTGGGAGAGAGAGAGGACAAAATTTTATTGATCTATCTCATTACAAAAAAGATTATTGAATTTTAGAAAGAATACATTCTTCCTTTGCCTTACAGTCTTGTATATTGTGCTGAGATATCGAATAGATTTAAGTTTAAGCAACTATTAAAAACAAGGAAACACTAGGCGGCCATTCCGTCCTAGTACAAGACTCTTCAGCAGTGCATATCCACGAACCTGCAGTTGGGAATCAAATTCAGAGCTTTCTATTTCGTGCGCAAACGCTTAACCTTTATACTACTAAGCCGGCATCCAATGTTGTATCAATCTAACCTTAATCAATCCACGATATTGTACATTAGTTTATATATACTTGATTTATTTTGCCTTTTTCTAAAAGTGTTTATTATTATTGTTATCATTATTATAAGTAGTTGGCCACATACCATGCGCATAAACTAGTCAGATAAATTAACTGTTTATAGAATACAAATAATCCATGTAAATTATGTCTAACTATTGAAAGAACCGTTGGACGCATTTATATATTGTGTATGTGTGTGTAGAGATTGATACGGTATGTTTGTAAAACTTATATTACCTTTCAACAAAAAACCATCAGTTTTCTAATGTTATTAATAAATGTGGGTAAAGTAATTCATGCATTCTAATCTATGACTGTTTGTTACTTCTAATTATTTACTTGTCTGTGTAAAACCTTATTGTTTTGCGTAATTTTTTCAAGTAAACTCTAATAACTGACTTCATATTTCACTTTAACAAATCCTGACATTCTGTTAACTTGAAAATAACACATTATGATTTCCATTTGAATAAAATAATTATAAATTTGATTTAATAGTCCTGCTTCGGTTTGGGCACCCGGGCAGTATCACAGCCCTCACACATATCGAATGAGATTTGTGTGGCGCATATGTATTTGGTGCCTCCTTGTACCAATGTCTATGTGTTAAAATAAAATACAATTCAAGGTTATCATATTTCCTAAATATTACAGTGAAATAAAGACTCGTGTTTTATCCTGTTAGTCGCCGTCCAACATATGGTAAACATGTAACTAGAGGCGCTCTCGAGGTATTCGCTCAAGTAATACATATAACAGCTGACACTGATCAGATACAGCCTTGAACATGGATAGTTGTAAAATATAAAATTTAATAGTAGTGAGTAAATTATGTGGCAGATCAGAACGCGCTACTGAACTGTACACACAACTCTTGGTGACAGTTGATATTTATTGAAGTATGTACTTTATACCTAGTTGAGAATTGTTTTGATCCGTGCAATATATATAGAATCATTTAGGTAAATAAAGAAATCAGTTCACCTTGTTACTTCACTTCAGGTATTCATCATCTTTAAAATTCACTTCGGTATCACCGTTTGACAAATACCTGTTAGTATCAGTATTTTCAAATATCCGCTCAAAGTATTAAAAAATACCAAATGTTTTCACAGTGATGGGAATCGCAGACTGTTGGCTTTTGATCGTTGGTGGCTTCGAAACATTGTTCGCGTATCGAGATACGATTCCTGGCGTTATAGCGATAAGCCGTCACAAGTGAAGTCCAACCATTCTGAGTGTGAGACAGTGATCCATCTCAGGAAACGGGAGGTTGACTGAAGTTAGACATGCACACCATTGAAAACCGTCTCAGGAGCTTAGAGGTTAAGCGCTTATTGCGACATTGAAAGTCTTGGGTTCAACCTTTGGTAGGGTCGTAGCTATACATTGTTGAGTAATCTCTTACTCGGACGAAATAGATTTCCAGTGTTTCCTGGCCCCAATGATTGTCCACGTAGGATCAGTCCGATTTAAACCATGAAAATTTAAGTCTCCACAAAACTTCTATACTATTATATATGAATTGAATGAATCTTCCAACAGTTTATTATTTGAGATCCATCATATATATATATATATATATATATATATATATATATATATATATATATATATATATATATATATATATATATATATATATATAAATTTCACTGGATTGACGGGTTTCATACTGTAGAATTTTACACTGCTTTCTCCTCCTTTACCTTCTCGAAACTTTATTTATTTATTGTATGACCGTCTATCGTTGTTGGTTCTCAGTTATTACCAGACTTTATGTTTATTAGATAGAAAGTTCATCTTCAGTGCAGTCATTAACTGTAAATTGGATGAATAATACCTAATGGTTATCAGTTTGAGGAATGAAGCTAATCTATATTTTTCGTGACTGTTGACTTGAATAAAGTTGGGGAGCTGTGAAGATTCCTTGATGGTACAAATTTATATTAAAAAAATATTATTTGTTGTTGACAAGAGCTTTTCCCCAAATTTAAACGAATAGTTTCACAGTAGTTGAGCGCCGAATTAATGTAGGACATTAAGGAGCAAAATTATATTTGTAAAATCTTAGCGATTGAATGTTAAGTAAGTTCAACGTTTCGCTCAGCAATCTAGTTCAAGCTTTTTCAAGGGAATATATTCAAACATCAGAATTATCGGATATAAATTGGTGCATGATTCTCTTGTTAACTGTGTACTAAATAGATCATCCAATCATGTTAACAATGCTAAAGGCAAGAATTTGCTTTTGCGCATATTAGAAATCTAGTGTGTAAAGAGTAGTGTGTTAAGATAACAGTTGTATGTATGTGTAAGTGGATCGGAGGTGAAAGAAAACGTTTTTTGGTCATATATAGCTTCTGGCAGTCTCTCTTTGTAAAAACCAAAACCTTTTGGGAGGATTCTTGCGCCACTGAAATCAATTGTATGGCCCAAATTTATTGAGTGTAATGCTATCTCTGACTTGTTTTCTAGTTTTTGTTTGAAATTCACTTATTACTTATTTGATTATTTATACCAGTTTAAGGTCAGAAGTTTTATTAATTTCTTCACTAAGTGATTTTACAATGTTTACCAATCATTACTGTTACACTGATTGTGGGACGCTTTATTACTATTACATATGCCTATCCACTACCTACCTTAACATTCACGTGACGTTTAGGATTAGGTTGGAAGAAAGATAGGGTGATCAAACTAAAACGTTGCGTTAGATCATGAAGTAACAATGGTTGAACACGTTAGGTCCAATGGGCTATAATCGGCTACAATGATGTAAATGCTATCACTTTTTGTCTTCCGTTAGGAATCGCATCTTAAAATTACCTTTTATCCATTATTCAATGAACTCACTCTTTCTTTTCAAAACATGATCTTTTTTCCTGCATATACCACTTCTATTCTGGTACTTAATTTGATAATTTTTATCTCACTGTACTGATGTAGTAAGACAACTTAGACCAATGCGTTTAACTAATTGAAGGCCGTTTATAACTAATTTTCGGGAGAGATTTATTTCATCATATGTTGTATACAAATATATTATTATTTCACTTCCTGTCTATTATATCTACATGTTATTTTACAATATATTCTAATCTATTTTTCTTTCCATTCCTAGCTGTAATGCAAGCTTTATGCACTCTTGGGAAAACAACTTCTGTTTTACAAGAACCGAATAAATTACCTGAACAATCTAGATCATTGTCTATCACGAATTTATTTTGAAAGTGTGTAAAAAAAATGCTGTAATTATAAAATCTATCGGTTTCTCCCCTTTTTTTATACTATGGATCAAGAGATAAATCCATTTCACTTGTATTTCAGCGCTCCAAACAATCCATTTTAGCATTCGTTTATTTTGTTGTAGTTATTATTTTCTGTTATTGATAACCATTCATCTTTTTTTCTTTTCTTCTAACATAATTATCACTAATGATTCTTTCATTTTTCTATTTTAATCAATCAGACAAATACGTAAACAAAATCAGATCTGTTTTCTGTTCTACCATTCTAGTCAATATGTGATTATTTTTCCCTTTCATAACTAAGTACATATATATTTTTTCTGTTTCTGTATTACTATTCCGCGTTCTTCTTTTCACTTACTATTAATTGATTAAGATATACACGTATATTTTTCTATAAAAGAGTTGTGGTAAATTAAAATTTAGTTTACCGCCTTATTTGTACTGTAGTTCTTCTATTTGGTGGTTGAATAACATCGAATACCACCTTACTTACTTACTGTTGGCTAACCAACTAACTGCCGAAATCCATATTCTCTGTATGTAGAATCTATTTTTGCTTAGAATTATTTTTGTTCTTAGAATATTTTATTTCGTATTTCTGTTCAATATATTTTTTAAGCTAATCATTTTACTTATCCAATTTGAATCTTTTCCAAATGTATCCGTCCATCTTTACACACTAGATATTACACAATAATATTTATATGCCTATATTGTTTTTTGGTACGTACACAATTCTCTGTTATTGTTTTATTTGTAACTTCTTAATTGGTCACGTGACTAACACTTTATATGATGTAATTAACTATGGTTTGATGTTGTTGTAGGTTCAGCCTGTTTGGACATTGCTTGTCATAAGAAGTCTATTTAAATATCCTTTTTCTTTCTTATCTACATGTGTTTCATTTGTTTCTGGTTCGTCTGACTTTATTTATGTTTTTATTGAGTTTTTTTTTGTATTTTTTTTGGCGTATGAACGAACAACTGTGTTATTGTTTTTTTTCCTGAAAAAAATAATGTAAAATTACTTTTTGGACATCGGGGTGTGGTTTTACTTCTTTATCTGCTTATCTATCTCTTTCCCTAATCAGATCATTAGTTTTTTTATTTTACAGAAAATTATTTTTGGTTATTTATCAAAAACAGAATTCCTCGTCCTAATTCGGCCAGATATTACTGTATCTGTATTTTTTTTTAAAAAGTTCCCTTTAATTTACATCACTTTATATTTGTTTCTTGGTACTTATCTTTTGTCACCTTTCTGCTAATATATTTATGATAAAAAAGGAAGTATACTTACACGATTATTTTAGATCATCTAGGCTTGTATAATCTATTTGATGCAATAGTTTCGTAATTTTTGTTTCTGTTGTACATCATCTTTTGAAATATAGAATAATAAAAAGAAAAGAACAATACTCTATCTATACACTCGTGTTTGTATTTATACACGGATGATATGCCAGTTGTAGAACTATTTGGAACCATTGAATGCTGAGTTTTTTTACCATTGTTTAGGATTCTTTAACAATGTGTACACATGACTCTGCAAGAGTTCGAATACAGTTTCTTTTTGGTTCCTAATTATTATGATATTACTAGCTTAATGAGTTCAAACCTTGTGTTTTAATGTTCTAATTTCATTCGGTTCTCTGTATAGTTTTACAAATATCTAGTGCTACCGATTGTGATAATATAATGAAACCCGTTATTAATCATCGTGAATCTAGTATACCGGTAAGGAAGCGGTTATCTATTGATGATAACGAGAGGTTGTTTAAAGAAATGTGTTGCAAATTTCCTGAAGTTCTTCACATGAACGATAAGATTGTGTTTCAATGGGTCAAAGCAATGTGATTGTCACGAGACTAGAAGTTTATGGGGTTGGTTTCTATGTGAGTAATTATAAAGATTCGCCAAACCATAACGAAACAATTGTTCAGTTCTATCTTGTTCCCAGTGATTTTCTCAACTTATGTGGATTTATGGTAGAAAATATATCTACAAGTTATTAGCTTGAAAAGAACAGGAACGATATGGATTTTTAAAATTTAAGTGCTCATCAACCACGTACAACCTGTCATATTTCGATTTCAAATGATATTTGGCATGGAAATGAAATTAGTCAGGATTCGGTATTGATATATCAGAGTAGTGTAGAATAGATCCAAATACAGTTAAAAATGATTGAAATAAATTTTACAAATAAATGTATATTATATAGAAACCAACTTTTTAAAAAACAGCTTCAATAATTTCAGAATGGCTAGAAATTATCTGTTTTTCAATCATCTCGAAAAATTTCAAAGGATTTACCTAATGTCTTGAGATTGAATTATTGATCACTTTATTCTACTTGGGCTACGGGCTATTAGAACACTGAAGAGATCTAAGGTAAACATTTCTGTCATTGTAATTGCTTTGGCGGTTACACGTGAATAAATCACTTGTCGCAGTAGTATTATGATTACTAATAAATTGAACTAGGTTGGCAATTTATTGAGTTTTTGTGGTCAGTATATAACAAATTGACGAAAATACCGTTCAGTAACGTTAGATAATTAATTACCTAGCTAAATTGTACTAAATATAGACTATTTTCTTTAAAGGTACAATCTTAGACTGTTTAATTCTCTTTTTTTTGTACATAAAAACAATGAAAACATGATAATTCAATAATTGTACACAACCTTTATGTATATATTGAAGAAAATATACACATTTGGAAGTAGTATTTCCTTTGGTCTTTTAAAGAAAAATGGATCAGACTATAGTGTCAAATTTGCACTGCGTACTAAATTTTATCAAAGATTAGTTTAACAAAACTACCATATTTAACTTTGTGATTTATCATGTTTATTTGTTTTATACCATTTCATTTGCATATATTTGTGTGAATTACTAGGGATAATGTAATTATACAGAATTTTTGAATATTTCTAAAATTCCCTATTGATGACACAAGAATTTTCAATGTAAAAGTAGATGATGGGTCTACTCGAGTTGAATGGAAATAGTATGAACTCCTAGCCTACATTAAAACCATACCTTATGGTTGACGCCTAACACAGTTCATATTATCGTGATAATCAGATGAATTGGCTTCCTTGGCGACTGTACAGATCAAATAGAATTTTACTGGAACGAAAGCATGTATTAATCAACAGATTAGAGAAGTAAAGAATCGGACCGTTGCTTCATTGGGATATTCATGGCATGCAGATGATTAATCAACGTTGATTATCCTTGGTCTTAGCGTCTGCTGGGATCACCGGGTAAGTAATAGTGAGGTTAGACGCAGGGTATTAGGGAATGATGGTAAATCAGTTTATGAGGTTGTGAATCTTCATCGACTGAAATGGTTGGGCCACGTGCTACGCATGCTCGAACACCGATTACCACGACGTGCAATGCTAACCTGTGTTCGGGATGTTTGGAAGAAAGTTAGTGGCGGCCAAACCAAAATGTGGTATCAGTGCTTGAAGTCACTAACTTCTAGTCTGAGTCATGTTGGTAGATGCAGACTACTTGGTTGGGGTCCGTGTGACTATCGTAACCAATGGTTGGAGACTTGGTGACATGGCTCAGAATCGATCACAATGGCATCGGTGTATACACTCTCTGTCTTCCCTTAAACTATGAGATTAAAATTGCTTCATATCTTTCTTTCTATGAACTAATTCTTTCTTCCTGTACTATATCCTTATTGCAATCTTTCGTTTATATATTACCACCTCTGAATTAACTACTTTTATGAATCCGGTGTTCATCTTGTTGTGTTAATGAGGTATGGCAACTTGGACCAATGCATATATATGCCTGGTCCTACGTTGTAGCTGACTGACTGATCCTTGATCTTAACGAGGCTTGGTAAAATTTAACATTTAGTGATCTGCTGTCTAACATAAAAACAACTCCACTTGACGCATAGTCTGGCTAGGGATCAGTTACATTTTAGTAGTATTATATTAGTATTTCAATTATAGATAATACATAAATTTCACAAGTTGAAATCATGAGTCAGTTGAAGCTAGACCACCATTGAAAACCTGGAAGCACTGGACGGCCGTTTCGTCCTAGTTTCGTCCTGCTGAGGAGTCCCATACTAGGACGAAACGGCCGTCCAGTGCTTCCAGGTTTTCAATGGTGGTCTAGCTTCAACTGACTCATGATTTCAACTTGTGAAATTTACTAAAATCTCCACAAAACTCATTCTGATAATACATAAATTGTTATTTAGAATTTTTCTTTTTTTTTATTAAAAAGAAATTTATTTTAGTATTTTCTTTTATTGTGCTGATGTAAATTGTAATTGTTTGAACTAATACAATAATTCTAATGGTATATAAATGAATAACGATTAAATTTACATTTGTAATCAGTCATATGATTAATATAATTCATACTAACAAATATAATATGATTAGTTGGTTAATCTTTAATAATTAAGTTCTGAAAAAATGTATTTATTCTATAGTATTTCTGAAATTAAATAGTTTCTAACTGAGTAGTTTATATAGAATTATAAAATGAAAACTGGTTGTTTTTTTTTTGGTGTTACTTTGATGATAATGATTTCAAGTTGAATATCTGTACACACTGATTAGTAACAATAATAATAATGACAATAGTAATGATAATAGTAATAACGTCATACATGAACTCAGTAATCTCGATTACATAACAAATGAATATATTTTAAATAAACATGTTATTTATCATGTGATAAAATGATAAGTCTCATTTCTTAATTGATGATGTAATCACACTATTTATTACTCACATGAATTTTTATGCAAAAATAATCTTATCAGAAGGGGTTTGTGGAGATTTTAGAAATTTCACAGATTGAAATCATGAGTTAATCGAAGCTAGACCACCATAGAAAACCTGAAAGCACTAAACGGCCGTTTCGTTCTAGTATGGGACTCAGCAGTGTGCATCCACGGTCCCGTCTCACGAGATTCGAACCCAGGATTTATCAGTTCAACCAGGTCTGTTGTGAAGTAGTAACTCACTGAAGACAATGGTGTACGGTAGCGCGATTTCATGGATTGGTTGAAGTTAGACATTAACACAGTTGGATACCGGCCAGTTCAGTGGTCTAATGGTTAAGTGCTCGCGCTCGAGACTGATAGGTCCTGGGTTTGAATCTAGTGGGGGCGGGATCGTGAATGTGCACTGCTGAGGAACCCCATACCAGGACGAAATGGCCGTCCATTACTTTCAGGTTTTCAATGATGGTTTAACATTGATCTGTTCATGATCTCAATTAAAATCCAACAATCTTCACAACTCTATACTGACAGTTCTAACTATAAAAAAGGATATAAATTCGAAATCCTTGCTTAAAACCAAATTATAAAATCATCTGTTAAAATAAGGTTCATCGGACTGATATTATAAAATAACAGAATCATTTACAATGATTATCGTATTTCATAAATACAAACTTCTGTTAATAAATAATAAAAAGAAAGTTTATAAACTCTTTCATCAATTTCAATAGTTGAAATCATGGGTCAGTTGAGGCTAGAATACCATGGAAAAGCTGGAAGCAATGAATGGCCCTTTCGTTCTAGTATGGGACTCCTCAGCGGTGCGCACCCACGATACCGCAAGATTCGAATCCTGGCGTGAGACTGGTAGATCCTGGGTTTGAATCTCGTGGGAGGGCGGGGTCGTGGATGCTCACTGCTGAGGAGTCCCGTACTAGAACGAAACGACCGTTCATTGCTTCCAGGTTTTCAATGGTGGTCTAGTTTCAATTGACTCATGATTTCAACTATTGAAATTTCTGAAATCTCCACAAAACCCCTTCTGAATAATATTAGTTTGAGGCTCAAGTATATTCTGACTTGGATTTATTCTTGAATCTTAATAATTTTTAATGCTTGAATTCGTGTGACGATTAAGAAAAGAAGAAATAAATTACAAACTATTCAGATGTTGACATTTTTACTTTATATATTTTATTTTTAATTATTTTTTATTATAGACAATTTCTACTTTGCAGTGCTTCTAGGTTTTCCATGGTCGTTTAGCTTCAATTAACTCATGATCTTAACTACTAAAATTACTATAATATTCACAAAAACCCCTTCTAACATAGATTTAACTGTTTTAACATTAAAATTTATGCGAACTAAGGGAGGTGGTAGTTGGTGAATTTATCAAATTCTTAAGAAAATATCTTGAATTGTTGTGTTATATATCAGCGTGTTTTCTCTAATCTAACCTTTATATATTTAACTAATTTCTACGTTTCGATTTGTTAATAACTGGGAAAACTTTATTAACTAATATTAAAGTATTTTTATTTTATTTCTCAGTTTATTTTGTATACACTTTTTGATTTCAGTTTCTTTTTTCAACTAGAATGAAATAGACTGCCATTGAAGTCACTACTTTTATGAATTTGGTGTTCAACTTGCTGTGCTAATGAGGTTTGTCAATTTGGACCGACGCATATATGTGCCTAGTGCTACGTTGTAGCTGACTGAGACTGCATCAAACCAAATGCAAAATACTCATTGACTCAAGAGTAAAAGTAAATTTAAGTGAAATTAATTGAAAGATTGTTGGGTTGAGAATGTTTGTTATCTGTAGAGAAGATCATTGTCTCGTGTTACTTCACAAATTATTATTCAAGGTTTAAAGTGTTCGGATGCAATGAAATGAAGCTGAATGATACAAAAATCGATTAAGCCGTTAAATTCATTTTGTTTTGTTCATTTGAATTTTCCCATTGATGTTTGAAGCGAACGGTACTGTGTTGGAGTCCAGGAGTGGACATCAACTCTGGGTTGCAGGTACATCCAGCTGAAAAGTTTCAAATAAAACGAAACGTTCATCCTGGATTCCACTGTTAGCCACCATCCATCTTTGCTTATTGATAAGTCTTGCGGATTGAACGCTATATTCGTCTCCTAAGCTATTCTGTAACCCCCAAGCTAGAACTAGACAGCGACCTGAACACGAGAGAGAAGACTCAAAGTATGCGAGAAGTATTTTACTTCAAGGTTTATTTTAATATGGAAAATACAGGGTTTTTATAATATTTTAAATGTCCTTGGGTTGCTAGAAGATTCTGGAATGCTACTAAGCATAGTAGCAACCAGCCAATCAGAACCTCTGCATGTGACGTTTCACTTCCTTGATATTTTTGGCTGAGACTCCAAGTGAATTCTGATTGGATGAAAAGTTTCTTAGTGTTTCCTGATGCTTGTTTGTCTTGTGCAAGCAATTTTCTTGATCACCCCAACACTTATGAAGCCATTAGTTCGTAGTTAGATTTCGAAATTGAATACTTGCATATTTCGGTGAATATAGGACTCAGTCCTTATTCAGTACGTTGTAAATGTAAACTACGCCCTAATTAAATTCGTTTCAGTAACTGGTTAGTATCATTTAACCTACCAAGTAAAAGTTGTCTTGAAACGAAGTCTGAAATGCTAAAATCTTAGCTAAATTCATGGCGATGGCTGTTAACGTACATTGATACTAATGAAGATCATTGGTACTTTTCGGAAGCTCAAGAATAAGGTCACTAGAAACTTAAGTAAACTTATCGAGGCAGAAAAATAATAAAATATGGTCAAGATCCACTAAAGTTTAATCAGCTAATTTTCTCTGTTTCATAGTTGGCTTACATTTCGAAAACTGGCATACGTACGTCCTGAGAGAATCACTGTCCATGGAAGATCAATAATAAGCACACTACATTACCACCGATTCGCATTATATATATATATATATATATATATATATATATATATATAACGTTTTGTAGTTTCTATAGTGTTTTTCACCAGGAACATAACTTATTGGATTCGGTCTATGATAAATCAATCTAGTTAGAACAGTTATAAGCGAAACTTTTATGGAACAATCGACCATATACAAAGTTAATATTTAGTCAAAAATTGTAATTTATCAAAAGTCAGTTGTCTCTTCAGAAGAAAATGTATCAAACATGAGTTTAATAGAAACTTCTCACTGAATATCATTCGGTCAATTTAATAATACAATGAACTAATACATTACTTCAATGTTAAGTTTTATGGAATCATGTAAATAGAATACTTTTCATTTGAATTTATTCTAATGACTAACTTCGCAGTATGTTATAACAGGAAAGTATAATGTATTTATGTATGGATATGTGATCGAATGGAGATTAGTCATGACAACTGACTTATTATTATAGTTCAACTAAGCTTATGTTGATTATTCATTGAAAAACAAACAAACAAAGTAATTGTAAGACTAGAGTAATTTAGGTTACGAGATAATCTAACTAAAACCTTAATGGATTTTTATCAGCTATACATTAAAAAAAAATCCCATTTAATACTTGACTACTTATATATTTTTGATGGTAGATAAATTAGCAAAAAAAAACAATCATCAATTAAAACATGAAAACATTCGATCGATTCAAACGAATGCACATGATAAAAAATCAGTAGTGATTCAAGGCTTTCAATGTATCATGCTGACTGTGATGATTGAACTTTGAACTTTTCAACTTACAAAATTAATATTTATGTAAACTACTGAAATATTATTATTATTATTATTGTATTTTTTAATTTATCAAAAATTTCTTTGATATGAAATATCAATTTATCAAAATTAGGGTATAATTAATGATTTTATATCTTTTCTTTAAGTTGTGAAACATGAATTTACTAGTAGGAGATATATGTAGGCAGTAAGTTATTGATCATATGTGTATTTGAAGAAAAACTCACGTTTTATGAAACAAATAAGTGTGAATATTCACTTGGTGTTGTTTTACTTGTATCTTGTAACACCAAGTGAATTTAAACTTCACCCCATTGTACAAGCAAGTGGTTATTAGGAATCAATAGCTAAATGAATAACGCGATTGGCGTTTGAAACAAACGGTACTGGGTTTGAATTTTGGAGTAAATATCAACTCTGGAATGCAGATACATTCAGCTGCCAAGTTTTAAATAAGACAAAATGCGCAGCCTGGACTCCACTGTCAGCCACTAAGTGAACAGTTTTGAGGTATAGTATGAGGTACTAGGTTAAGATAGTAGATTAGTTAGTGAGATAGTCAATATTCATTGATTAAGATGATTGGGATATTTATTAGAAATGTAAGAGTAGGTTGCATGAAAGTGATGACATCAGTTCATGAAGTGATTGACTATTTGTCTGAGATGTATACTTAAATGTAGACAATTTGGTTAGGGTCAGAAAGATAATCACCATTAATGATTGGAGACATCTAATGATATGGTTAAAAATGATTCACAGTGAAATAAATGCATTGCTTGTTTTATTCTTCACCAATTTTTCATATTCTAATTAATAAAACATTATTTCAATTCATTTCTTAGTTGTTTTGTTAATTTCATCTCATTATTCTAATGTTGTGTTATTGTCAATTAGAACCAATGCAAGACATTCTATTAATGATGACTAGTTGAAATGGTATTAGTTTTTTATTTTTTTATTCTATGGATTGAATTCATCTTCTCTTTTTTTCTTCTTCTTCACATTACAACATGATCACAATTAATTTAATGAGTACGCGTAGCGTAGTTTTCTAATAAAGAAAAAAAATTATATGTCAGCGGTTATTGTTTATTATCATTGATGTTGTAAATTAAAAGAATGTTGTTTTTCTAGTTATTTTATTTAAATTCAAAACTCTTGGTAATTTATATTTAAACTGAAGATTAATTATGTTATATATAATGCTTTATTGTATTAAAGAATGTTATCATAGAATGCCAGTTAATTATTTACTTCGCTCATAGATGAAGTATAAAGGGCGTATACAGTGTCTGTTAAATGGATCTGTAAAATAAACTTTAGTTGCCAATAGAGAGAGAGAGAGAGAAAAAAAACTACCAATCAGTATTTTCGTACAATATTTGATAAGTATGAAATTAATATTAAGTTTAAGTATAGTATTGAGAAAAAGTAATAATGAAATGAAGATTCGAACATAAAGCTCGTTGAAAAAGTTGTATGTTGTGAAATTCTCTAAATAGGTTGGAGTTGTACATTAATTTTCTTTGTAAACTATTATCAACTAAGAAATTGTTGAGAGTATCGTTTATACAGTTACGAAACAAGTTTTATACATGAACACTGAATTAAAAGAGAATAGGGAATCATAATTATTGAAGAATAAACTGCTCAAACCTTTGCGAAATACAACTTATATAGCTGAGCTAAGAATTGTTTTCTTCATTCGGAATTTCATTTAGGGAAGTGTCGAAGATAAACTGCCTCTTTGAGTCATCTCCGTGTACATTTATTAATTTTATTACTATTATGGAGTAAGTTATATTGTGGTTAAGAAGCGTGAACTTGTTAAATAAATATCAGAGTATTATTATACATGACTATCTAAAGACGAATGAAAATCAATTAACAGTTCAATCCTCATATATTCGATCAACTTCAGTCATCCTGCGCCACAGAAATAACAATCTCTCAATGTTATCAACAAGATCAAATGAACTGATTCTAAGAAGGTTCTTATCAGAAACTTATACATAACTGAAGCTATAACATTTCACTAGTTCAAATCTAACGTCTATGTACAAAATAGACACATTCAACCCATTATTTTTCTATAGTCTTAACAGTTTTAGTTTCTTACAAATTGTAAGTGTTAATAAATAATGTAAGTACAGACAGTTAGTTATGTTTTATAAATTGTTATTTCCTATTAACTTTATAACTATTAGATCAACTAAATGGAATAACATCCTACCATTCATAGACTGTCATCTTCAATACTTGAATTCTTTTGATTAAACTATACAATATCAAACAATTTTGTACTAAATAGATGAAAAATAACATTTGATGATACATGATAAATTGACTTAATAAAGCAACACTTTTCTATATTACCATAGATAGTCTCATGTAAAATTACTTATTCATGAAATTCTTATAACTAAAAAGAATAACATTGTTGTGAAATGAACAGTTCTTCACTGAAAGGTTTTCTCTCTTTTACATGATTCAATCGATTGGTTACCTTATTTAGTGTACATCATAAATATATATTGATATGGAACTATGATAAGTAACTAATTGAATAGTGATAGTTTTTAACTGTATTTCTTATCATATTTGAACATGAGTTATCACTTTGATTTTTTTCAATATTGATTATCAAAAATGACCGAATAAGTAATGCATATGTCTAATACTATTGTGTTCTTAATAATCATTGAGAGACTGATATCACGTATACTTCCAGTCCCCTCATAAATTGTATGTTTATAATATGGTTGATTGATTTTTAGCTATTTGATCAGTAGTGATTTCATATATTTGAATGTAAAGCTTATTTATAAATAATGAAAGACCATTTTGAGGAGTCAGTAAAAAAGGAAATTTGTTCCTTGTTTAATTTATGTACTAAATAAAATAAATATTACTCTCAATTCTGTAGATTTATTCAAATCAGGTCTCTTGGTATATATATATATCTTTATATCTTCAGTATTATAGCAAATCTGACAACGCTTATCATATTCAGAACTTGTATGTCAAAATTATAAAAGAGTAATTTTAGTGGAGGATCATGTATCTGGCAACTATTTTGAACGATTCAAGTAATTATTTCGGATAGATTGCACGTTTTATTGATTTAAAAAAAACCTTACTGATGAGCACTATGAAGAACTGATCCCAAATCCCTATATATATGTGCACATGGAATAGTGAAGATGATTTGCAGCTCAGGTGAACAGTTTTATGTGCTCTGAGCTAAATGAATAAATCGCTGATTCTTCATTGTAGGTCTGGACAATATTGTTATTAACTTTATATAGAAATGAGCTTTACAATTATTCCACAAATGTTACATCTTTTTTTTTCTGATGGCTTTTTGTGAGTGGTAGCCTTGGTAGATTTGATCGTCATCATTTATCCACAGATTCATGTTCAGTATCTTTTTCGGATACTTTCTAACTATTATCAACTGACCTCTTCTGTATAGGTTGTAGATTGGATCTATGTCAGTGTGTATACTGATTGCTAATTGACCGAAATACCATAATTCTAGCGGTTCTCTGGTACTTATACAGCTTATTGAATCCATAATTTCGAAGCTTCCCCAATCGAATTCACATCCATGATGATTCGAGTGCAATGATATCAGTGATAGCATATAATTTCACTTCACTTCTAATCTATGTTGATGAATGAGTAGGTCGGATTTTCATTTTATCCAATAGAATAATTTTCGTAATTGGTGCAATTTATTCTATAAATAGTATCGGATTTGTTTTCTCTTTTCATATATCTAACATTTTGCTTAGAATGAAATGACTGTATTGATTCTTGAGTGACACTGACCCTAAAGGATTTTAGATTCCTTCCAATGGTTTCTGATATATGTATATATATTGGTGCATGCATATGTATTCTTTCTTATTGAAACTTATGCAACATATATTGAACAATAGTATTATCGAACAAGTTGAGGTCAAATACATGAACAGTAATTTTAAAAAAAAACTAGTCGAATTATTCTATTTTTGTACAATATGTCCAAGTCACGTTTTATTTTTCGGAATAATAGACAGAATAGAAGAAAAAAATCCAGTTTACATAATTATTATGACAGTAATGATGTTAATTTAATTGAAACTACTGATCATCGTAAGATTTCATGATATTTATAATTTATTAAAGATTAAATGTTGTTTTTAGATAGGTTTATATAAATAGGTTTTGATCAAGAATAACCAAATATTACTTTATAATTATCTTTATCACGTAATAGTAAGGATCATAATACTATTATGTAATAATAATTATAGGTAAGGTATAAAGCTAAATGACGAATACATCAGAAAGAAAACTACAACGGATGATCTGTCAGAAAAAAAACCCTGCTTACTGAATTATCTTTCTGTTAATGGATGTTTTTTTGTTTACTTAACAGATGTAAGTACAAAAAACGAACCTAACAGGTTTTAACATGATTCTGTTGGAATAACTGAGACATTTATCTCAATTGGTGAATTAAGGAATTATGAATATCTCATAAATTACTAAGTAGAACTCATATTTACTTGAGTGTCATACAAAGAACAGTATTGTTTCCACTCGTTCAATCACTTGAAAACATAACACGACTTCTTGTATTGTATGAATAATCACTGAATAAATATTAATTATCTAATGATTTTAATAACAAAAGTACTGGAAAACTTAATAAATACATTCATTCGAATCTTTGTGAAACATCCAAATCCATAAAGCGCCACCATAGGTTTCCAAACAATCCTGAAAAATGTATATCCAAAAGTTCATTAGTATCTTTACAGGCTGTACATCTGAGGGCACGAAATTCTACCTTGTGAACCATACAACCAACCATGTCATCAAATTTACAATTTCAAAAATTCAGTTAATCCGAGTAAAATGCTAACTTTAGTTTTTATCCTGAAAAAACATTTTCTTTGATTGATACAATCGATATCATGAAACAACCCCAATGGTTCGATATCTGATAATATGAGAACATAGAAACACAACCCAAACTGTTTAGAAGTGCTTGAAGACTATTATTAACAAGCTGTAAAGGAATATTTTTGATGAACCGAAAAATGAGTCCTACTAAGAAGCTTTCTAAAGTTGTCGACGAGATAAACAATGATAAATTGGTCGAAAAACAACTTAATGAGGTTTTCAAGAGAATGAAAAGATCATCTGATTGGCGAACGAAATGAACTAGTTAGTACCACAATATCATAACAGCAGTGGACCTACAAGAAGCTCAGTAACAGAACGCGAATCATTCTACCAAACTAGACTGACAGTCATTTGCAAAGTAACTAGTAGTCTGTTAAAGGTAATGTGACTTCATCATCTTTGCATGGTTTATCCAAGGTGCAAAACTATGAGCTATTTCTTGACCCACTTATATACATGCCTGGATCTCCTTACCACTCTATGGGGAAATAGCTGGTTCTCTACAGTTCGCAATAAGGCATATATTCATGTATTCGCTGCATGACACCTTCCAATTCGGTAGTACTAAAGATGGAGAGAATGTATATAATAAATTTGCAGCTTCATATGACCTTGAGTAGCTCCTGACTACTTATCGAGACCATCAGTTTTATTCGCAAATACATAAATGATAAGAATGGTAATATAAATAGTCTATTTAAAGGGTTTACTATTGAGATGCACTCAATTGATAATCAGTGACATTATTTACAGACAGAAGGATGAAATAGCTATGGGATACTCCTTTATAGTATAACAATCCCTATCCAAGTCTGTATTTGCAGATTGTTTTATTGTTAGTTAAAAGGTATCTTATCAAAGATTTTTATTTGTATAACACTTATGTAGACGATTCTTTTATTGTTTATGATAATAAGAGTTGAGTTATATTATGATGAAAAATTGTATTGTTTGAATTTTACAATAACAAGGAAATCCGATGACATCAAAAGGAAAACTAGTTTACAGGAACGCTTTAATGAATGATTAGCTTTTATATTTGAGTTCATATAGGAATAGAAGTTTATATCACTCGTCACATAAATCCGAAGAAATTCCGGTACCAATATTAACTTTTTGTTGTTGAGAAAACTACATATCGAAAATAGGTATCCCAAAAATGTGTCGATATCAGATATAAAACTCAAATATCCAATTAAATAATTAATCTATGTCAAAAGTATACATTGCATAAAATTCAAAGGTGATAAGCCTTATATTTTGAAGAGAAGAATTTTAAAACTTATCAAAAAAGGCTTCTTTACGTTAACTTTGAAGTTAGAGTTCCATGTAATCTACTCATATTTACCAATAACCTAAAGGATAATCTCACCAATATGACCGATTCAGTGTGCGTTTAACAAATCTTTTGTTTTTATGGAGCTAGGAATATGAAGTGATATTAATATTAACTGATTTCATGTTCTGGGGTTCTTAATGGTAATCGATTTCTATAAATCAAGTTATAATATGGTCATCAGTCGAAGTGATTCGGTATTGCATTGCACTGCACTTTGTTTGATGTTAAGTAGTTAACAGAAAATCCTATATGAAGAAGTAGTGTAAGCATCTCAATTATACAAGACGAAAGTCATCAAACAAGTAGTTCCTTTTTGAATCCTACAAGGATTATCAATACTTAAAAGATTTTAGATAAACCTTTTGGACACATGCGCCAATCTATCATGAAATTTAGGTTATCGTTGATCACCTTAAACAATTTGATATCAGTTAAGAATACAAAATGAATCAACTGAATTATTTCAACCTGAATAATCAAAATAGAATGTTATTAACAAAAAAAAGTTATTTCATACACATAGTTCCCTTTATTATTTTAAAGAGAGCAAGAACAAAGGTTGGTGCAGAACAATATGTATTCATTTTATTTCGTTAGGTTCTCATCAGCTGCTTACAACCTAAAATATTTGAAAATTCAAATTATTACAGATATTGACATAATTATACATCAGAGGGTGATGAAGGATGAATACATGTAACATGATGTAGCAAAGATTTCGTTAGAGTTAATGAGGTCATAAAAATTTTTGTTTCGAATATATAGAGTTTGGGAGGTAAGGTTCCAGAACATTGAGGGGTTTGAGATCAAACGGACTAAAAGCATTCAGCAGCGCTATCGCAAGACATCTCCTTGACACAGGACACGAAGTCAATATATTGAAGTCCTTCAAGGTGATCAACAAGCAATCAAATTCAAACCTTTTGAAATTTGCCGAAGCGATAGCAATCAAACTTTTTAAACCAGATCTTTGTATACAAAAAGAAGCAGTAATAAATCTTTCTTTGCCCTCTTAACATTAACCCCCTCCTTTTATTTATTATGTCATTCCAACTCTCTCTGAATTTTATAATTACATCATTCATAACTGACCAATTTCAATTCATATCTCTCTTTATTAACATTAATCTATTTTCAGTTTCTTCATTACATAATCGTCTAATGTGTTTTAATTCCATGATTTCTAATCACTATTTCAATGTTCTGGATCCTTCCCTCCCAAACTCTATATATTCGAAACAAAAAAAATTTTTATGACCTCATTAACTCTAACGAAATCTTTACCACATTATGTTACATATATTCATCCTTCATCGCCCTCTGTTGTATAAGTATGTCAATATCTATAATAATGTTGAATTTCAAATATTTTAGGTTGTAAGCAGCTGATGAGAATCTAACGAAATAAAATGAATTCATATTGTTCTGCACTAACCTTTGTTCTTGCTCTCTTTAAAAGAAAATTAGTCCTTGTGAAAAGGTGAATAATGAACCAAATAAAAAAAACAGTATCCTTTTCAGTCTCCAGAAAGAAATCTGAAATATTTTCGAAGTGTAATAATCTCAAATTTATAGATATTTGTATTCACTTATACTTTAACGATGAGCTATTTAAAGATTATTATTATTATTATCCAAATGAGATTTTCACTATTGATAAAAGTATTCATAGATATTGTCAATGAAATCATATGGATTATAAGCATTAGAATACCCATTAAGCTTTCTTTTCTTATTATTAAAAGAAACATATTTCTATCATTTCAAAAGAGTGTATGACTTCTTGAAAAGTTAATAGAACATTCTCATTATTAGTAAATAAATAGCTGATAAGAATTTGTATAGATTGTATATAAATGGAACGAAAACTTACAGAATGCCTTGGTAAAATATGAAAATCATAAATTATTTGCGCAACTTTCTTCAATTGTCTTTTACATATGCTTCATGATTCTTTCAAATTCTGTTATTGTTACAATTTTTTCTCTCTGTTCTTTTCATTTCAATCTTTCATTGTCAGGTATTCAGTAGTGTGTGCTACTTATGTTGATATAAGTAATATATGACGCGAGTCAAAAACGTAATGTCGGGCAGCAGAAGATGGGGGAAGATCAAGAAAGGAAGAGCGGAAACACAATGCAATTTGTAAAAAAACGCATGAACAATGAAATCTGAGACAATCGATTGATGTTTGCAACAGGAACAGTTCAGGTTGATATGATGGATTGATATTTTGCAAATTAATGATTTGCTATATCGTTTTTCTATTTCGCTAAGTAACTCTGTAATTATGTGCTAAATACATTCGATTGTACCCACCCGTGTTCTGTTCAGTACAATTCTACTTCCGATTAATGCTATCTACTACTTATATCTGTCAGTGTAAGTAGCATACATCACAATATTCTTAAAAGATTTAATTTAATATTGACTAAATTTTATGTATATTTGAAATTTTATAAAACAATTAACATAGTTTCTTTTTAGAGTTTATATATTTTTAATTGGATAAAGATGTAATTCATTAGAATCATTATTCAATAATAATGAAGTACTTTGTACAATATTCTTAAATATCTTCTTAAACATTAACAATTTGTTTTTTAAACATTTTGATAAGTTGCTCTCCTAAACTTTCATTCTAAAAAGAAAACAAAATTTGTTTAGTCAAAAATTGAACAGTAAAATTTCTATTTTTCTTTTGAAAATAAATCTAGACAGTAGGAAAAGATTAAGTTCAAGATGGTGGTTGGAGGTAGTAGTCAACAGAAAACCCTGGATCTGGATTTCGTGCTATTTGGCACTCGTCAGCAAGGTGTACCTGTAATCTTGAGGGAACTGGTGCTCCCTGACAGATTCGACCCCGTGTTGATAGCATTCGATCTGCACGAAGAAGAACTTGACACACATGACATTGATCATCACCCAGTGATCAATTGATCGCGATTGAGTTCAATGTTTCGCCCATTATGAAAAGGTATGTATGAATGAATTAAGACAATAATATAACTGAAATTTTGTATATAATGATTTTACTTAACTTCAGTCATTGGTAAGAAACATAGAATTCGACACACATATATACATCAGTCTAATTTGTTCCATTATTTCAGTACAATGAGAACAAATTATCAAAATAAGTAGAAGCGGCATATATATATATAAGTAGGTAAAGAGAATATATTCCGAAATAAAAGAATGAATTCGTTGAATAAGATATAAAAGAATTTTAAAAATAAAATTCCTAATGAAAGACAAAAAGTGAAATCATCTACACAATTGTATCTGATTTTGACCCATTGGATCTAACGTGTTCAACCGTTGTTACGATAATTGTACAGAGCCTAACTAGCTACTAACACGGCTCAGTGTAACAGTTAATGACATAATGGACTAATAATGACATGCTTCGGTTTGGTTCTCGTTAGCATTCTTCCAACCTACTCTGACACCAGCCGACATTGTGCGTCAAGGTACGTGGAGATCTGGGATACATAAAACATACCCCAACCACTACATTTGATGAAAATTCGCAGTTTTTGGATAGTACCCTGAGTCTAACTTAAACATAGCTTAACTTGGTAGTCTCAACATACGGCGATAATACCTCGAAGGGGCCTGTGACCAGATAATAATAATAATAATAATAATAATAATAATAATAATAATAATAATTATTATTATTATTATTATTATTATTATTATTATTATAGCCCATGGATTTCTTCTCCAAGTTCTCGTAAGTAATTATTTTCACATCATCAAGTCGATATCAAGAACACTAACAAATTTGGTGAAATTACAAAGATTGGACTCACCAATAAGGAATCATCACTTTAATAAATAGACAGTAAATAATGTAATACTTAATCATTTGTCACAGATGAGGGTTTAATTAATTGGTAGGTAAAGGGTGTGATTTTCGACAATTCATTTGTTTCATATTAAAAAGTTTTTAAGTTCCACAAGACACTTGCTTATTACTATCTATTTTTCAATGGTTCTGATGTCAATCGATGATTGAGGTAGCAATCATCAAACTGAACAAACATATACAAATCAATATTGGTTGTTACAAAAAAAGGTATCTTCACTATCTATTGAAACATAGGCTAGAAACACGTTACCACAATAGCTTACGTACACTTTCCTGCCATGTTTGGACAATGGAGTTTAATATTTTAGTAAACATATTAATAAAATTAAATGACTAAAAAATTTACCTGTAAATTATAGGTTACATGACATACGAATTCCTTTGATTGCAGGTTAGCTGTACGACGTAGAGCTGTTGATCTTTCACGAGTTTCCTCATCGAATTCATCCAACATAGGATCACAAACTGATACAACCACTGAATCGTTGAATAGAATTTGGTTACGTACTAATTTTGGTGGATCGATGGGTAATCTATAGATGGGAACATATATAATGTGAAGATTATTTTCACTGTTTATTAATATTATTCAGAAAACAATGATAAAATGAAGAGTTGAGTATGCTTACGCAGAGTCTGGTTGTTTATAACCGCATAGTTTTAAAAAAATATCCTCATAATTAGGCGATTAAAATTAAAAAAAATTAGCAAATGTTTATCGTACACAAAACATATTTGCAGGTGAGGGTCCCTAAGTCCAATTGGTATAATTTTTAAGAACATAACAATAAAATTATGGAATCTGGGTGATCTGCTAAAAACAACCCCAGTTTGGAATTTTTGAGCTTGAAGATAAATTTACACTACAATATTCAGAAACATTAAAACTTTAAAAGAAGTAAATACATGATTACGAATTATTTAATTTTAAAGTTACTGATGTTGTTGGCTAATTTTTTATTTGCCGACTGAATGAATGTCATCACCAAGGTTCTAACTATGTTTTCAGATGGTGGCTAGCTGTGGAATTGAGGATCCTTATTATACCTTGTATCGGTTTACGTATAACACAGTACCGATATTTTCTCTGAAGCGATAATCCAGAAGTTATTTCTTCAAACACTAGAGCAATATTTTTTAGAGTAATGGGTCATGATCGCCAAAAGTTGTTCGACTTTTAAATGTAGCTAACAGTGAAGAATATGGTCCAAGAGCACAAACGTCGAAAAGATAGATCAGTTTAGTTTTTGGATGTTGACAACTCGAACATACTAACCCTTACGATTAATTATATCAAGTGTTTTTTAAGCTATAGCTTACATATTAGCTCAGTGTGTTTAAAAAACACTTGCATTTTATCGGGGTATCTGTCTAATGGGACTACGTTGCATGTATATCCTACTTTGATCATAAGACCTACAACACAGAGGATTAGACGTACATAGTAAGCTCCATTATAATATGTTAAATAAGGTAGAAAGTATGGGGGAATTTGTACGTCTAATCTGATTCCAAAAGTTAATTTGGCGTGATTATCACTTTAGTTAGATACTGGCTCAATTATTCTACATAACTCCGCATATATAACCAACTAATTAGAACATTATAGCTATGGTGATTACTAATGTGTTAAATGGAAATTACAATATGAAACGTATGAGAAGATATTTTAAGTAATCCAAACAGTATACCAAACTAATAAATAAGGTGAAAACATAGTGAATGAATCACAAACTATTAAATATGTACATGAACGATCCGAACTATTTGATAGTGAAGTAGACAAACAAACATGCTTAAAAGCTCATAATTAGTCGTACAACAATAAGTGTAAACAAAAATGATTAATGTGATTAGAATGACGCATTTATTTTTGAACAAGAACAAACCTGGGTGGACGTGAAGCTGATACAAATACAATAAGTCTTCAGCATTAATCTGATTTTTCCAGTGAACGAAAACAAATACGTTCATAGAAATAAAGGCTAATTGATGATCATCAACTTATTCCTAATGAAAATTAGACGGTCACCTCTAATACACGCAAAATTCATATCGCTTGCGACCGTAACAAGATACTATCGAGCTCAGTGGACAATGCGTTGGGGCTTTAAAGTGAAAAGTACCGAGATTAAGTTCCTGTGTGAACATTCGTATTAGAATGCAGGTATATCCGGACGATGAACCGTAAAAAGGATGAAACACGTGTTCCCTGCTAATCATTAACCAAATTTACTAATCAATTCGATCAAAATGGAATGAAATTTTTTTTGAATAAAAACTATATTACAAAGAATAACACTAAAATATGTTATCAACTTTAGGGGAATTAATAATATGGACAAATAGTTGAATAGATCTTTATGAAAGGTAAGAAACTTCACTTCTACCTGTTTACTTTTAATGAAAGCAATAAATTTTGATATGAATACAGATATTTGAGTCGTTGAAAAAAAAATGAGCACAAAAAATTTATCAAACTGATTTTCACCTGACAATTTAATTTTTGAACATGTTTAATCAGTAAAACAAAACAAAACAAAACAACAAATAAACATGAGTAATTTGATGAGGTGATAAATGAAGTTGACTTCGGCATAAACAATACATTCATCGGAAAAAAAACATCGATGAATTTATTTTATGGAAAAAAACGAACTATTCAGTTAGGAAAAGGTGATAACATATATAACTATTGACATTTAATCATTGTATTTATTACCATTGAAAAAAAGCAAACATTAATTTATTCAGTTAGAAACACAATTTATGAACTATATGGATATACAATGAAATAATTGAATTTATCAATGAGTAAATAGAACTAAATAATTTACATTAGTCTGATTATAAAATGGGTGAGTATACTGTAGAAAGAAACAGTTCTTTCTGATTTATTTCACAACTTTGAAATGATATCTTTAAAACTAGATGAAATGCCTAGGTTGTTAGTATTAGATCTAAGATATTTTTGAAGCATTGCTTCGCTTATGGTCGAATAGCAGAGTTAAGCGTAAGGTATAAGATAAGTATAGTAAATTGGTTAATGAGGTTACGTGTCCCCAAATGTCCTGGTACGACCGAGAGTGGGGACAGTCAGCTCTCCTCCTAGAAATGCTCACATGACTACGCGTGCACAGCCTCTGACAGGGAAGTCCTACTCACTGCCTTCTCGCACCACAGGTCTTGTTTACGAAATTGAGAGGACGAAAAGCGAATGTCCGGCGCTCTAACCAGGCCGGTGGACACGGAGAGTCCACCCAGGGGAGTTGGAAAACCCCCATTCCAAACCAATGGTGTACATGGGCTCCAGTATCCTGAAGCAACAAATAGCGTATGAACCAATTGTTGGTCACCGGCTACCATGGGATCGCATCTCTTCACGATGTTCCACTGCCTTGTGGATCAGACCTTTAGGTCAAAGGCTCGGATGTGGCCCTCTAAGAAAATCACCTGCTTCAGTTTGGGCACCCGGGCAGTATCACAGCCCACACACAAATCAATGAAATGACGATATTCACTGAAAATACTATTCACGCTTCGATTGAAAGTCAAACAATTCACATTATTATTATTATTAGCACTTACGGCGTCACTTTTGTGTGGCGCATATATATTTGGTGCCGCTTTGTACCAATATTTATGTGTTCAAGTAAATAAAAAGTAAATAATGAAGTTACAACATTTGGAAGACTGAGGTGACAGCGAGATGTGTATTACGTACTCGGAATCATCGCCTATCTTGATAAGTAATATTGGGTGGCGTAGGTTGTAAGACGGTGACAACCAATCCATTATCTGACTAATTGAAATCCTTATAAAAAAAGTGTACCTATCGTACCTAAAGCTATGAGAAATAATTTTTAAGCAAATTTTTCATTGCGAAATCGTCAACAGTCGACTTTGATTCTTACCTAAGGAACATACACCATGTTTTTGGTTATACAACTACATGGATGTGTAGGAAAATATTCGTTTGTTTAATAAAAGTGCAGTATCATTTTGTTGATAGCGTTCAAACATAACTGGCATTACACACCTAAAATCTATGGTTTTCACACTAACATTAATAGAGCATCGATCTCATTTCTCGTTTGACCATGTTTTTGATTTATGGTTGTAGTGGAGCGGATTTTTAGATATGTTGGAACCTTTTGAAATATTACCATTTTGGCTATTTGGATCATTAAGTAATCAGTTTATGGCAGTTTTCTATACAGTCTTATTTATGAGCTTCCGTTTATTGTATAAAATGTCCATATAAGCTTCACTACTTCCGAACTATTGTTTGCTAGCTATTCACCTGTTTCGTTCTCTTTTGGCTGAATTGTGGGTGTGAAAGACCTGGTAACTCAAGTATATAAATAAACGAATGTTTGAAATTTAAGAATAGATGATTGTCAGCTATCCGTGTTCTTACTTTGGAATGACTACTGGACTGGAGGAAGGTGTACGTTATGGACCAGTAGGCGTTAACACTTATGTCGATCACTACTCCGGACCAACTATTGTTGACCGAAGTGCATCAAACCTGAGGACATTGGTACATAGGCGAAAAGCACACTAGGATTAGTGAGTCATAACACCAATCCGTATTGGTGCACCTGCATCCGTTGTCTCAAGTAAGATGTGCGGGATAAAAAACGGGGAAAAAACAAAGTAAACTATTGATCGTTGCTGTGCAAAGTGGCATCGTGGTAACTAAATACACCTCAAAGTATTCATCTATGAAACACTTTTTGTGCGAAGACTGTAGTTGTATTTAAGATTCGGGTCTGAACTCAGTCGTTGACAATTTGATTTATTAACTCATTAGGTTCTCTTTTCACAATGCAATGAATGAAGTCTACTTCTTACAAATGTAAACTCGGACACGGGTAGGGATGAAATAATTACCAACTCTGTAGAGACATGTTTTACTAAATGGATCGATGACACTTTACTTCACTATCAAATGACTGATTAATTCGATTCTTCTGTTGAATAACATCATGTACTAAGTTGAACGTACACATATCATATGTAACACATCAATCATTTTATCTAGCCAACTGTATTCATAGTGTGCACTCGTAAATCTTAAGTCTCACACAATGAAGATTACGATCAATTAATCTGCATTCAGTTCTCTTATTTTTGGCATAATTGAAGATTAAATTTTGGAAACGACTTAATAAAATAGGAAGAACTGAAAATTCGTATATTTCCTGCTGCATTAACTTTTTCCTACACTTACAAGTAGCATATAAATGAGAGAATGTTGGGATTAACCACAGGAATTTGTTTTTGAAACTATTAGATTGCAAGTTCTAACCCAGCTCCACCTACTGTAGTTTGGGTAGTCGAGTTGTACTAATATTATTTATGATTAACTCATTTGCCAGGTGTACATATTCGTGTACTCAGTTTCGAGTCACGTTTAAAGCGTGAAGGATACTGATATTAACTGGATACCAAAACCAGAGGAGAGTAGGTGAAGCCGAGTTCGAACCTTCGACCTAGTTGGTGAAAATTGAACTCTTTAATTTCTCAGTGTCACTGTTCTACACAAAACAAAAATATAGATTAGAGACTATTGTATACACCTAGACCTAATAAACGAGTTACAATATATCATTTATTTACTACTACAGGATATATTTGTATAGAAATATGTGTATCTAAAAATATGTACATTTGATATTACTTTAAAAAGAATATAGGGCTTTGTTCTTCATATAATTGAAATGTTTCAACTATAATAATTAGAAAACAAGGTTTAACCAAGTACTTATATGCAGTAATCTTTCATTAGACTTAATTAAGCAATTACAATCAAAATTATTTATCTGGCATATTTAAAATTGTTATGATTCACAAAACAACTAAGGTTCAACTATATGAATGGCAAGGAAACAGTGGCTATAATAATAATGTAGTCATTACACGTTTTGAAAAGTCTGTGCTAAAGTGTATGTATGTGGGATGGAATACTAACACTATACTACAGTCGTTTAACCTTTAGATAACATAATAGATGTATTCTTTATCATTAACCATGCAATTAAGATTAAAATGTGAACTTAGAAACCGGTAATTATAGCGATGACGATAATAATAATAGTACCAATGAAGATTGTATTTAAATTAATCCAGTACAGAAAATTATTACTATTTTTGTCAATAGGGTCATCTGAGGAAGTGTTGGTGAACAGACTATTCAGTAATGTAACTTAGTTATCAAGTACAAGTTTATGTACCTGGCTATTTATTATAATATTTTAGGTAAGAACTACTGATATTACCCTGGTGTTTAAATCAAAGTGGATGGAGAGGGATTCGAGCCTGAGATTTACTGGTAGCCAGTTGTAGATTTTAACTATTCAGGCGTTGCTCTAATATATACTTAACTATCCTCTTCATTTATCATATACAATAATGATTATAATTTTGAAGTTCATTTAGAAATGTTTAAACGCTCCTTTGTTAACAAATGGGATTTACTTAAGATGTTTGTGATTTTTTTATCAATAAAACAACAAAAACACGTAAAACTTCAGGGGTAATTTTTTCATAAATTATGAGTAGGCCATCAATATACTTGGTATAAATAGAAGAAATCGTTATCAGGGTTTATACAAAGAAAAGTTATCTGTTCAACTTATCACATTTTCATGATGATTAACATTCACTCAGTTATGATATAAAATAGGTTTAGAGTAGGTCAGTTTGTAGTTTGTCAAGTAGTTGAAATCTGAGATCATTAAACCGAAGCTTCCTCAAACTAATCAAGTTTTTTTCAGCATAAATCATGACTTCTATATTACGAAAACCAGTCGTTTGATCCAGGTTATATAGGATAAGTTTGAGTATTGTTTTTATTGGTATGAATGTTAAAATTACTACAATTGTAAATTTCCAAACTGACATTTTAATCTCTTTCGTACGTTTTATAAATAGCTCACTTAAATTATCATCAAAATCCTAATATAACAATCCTCTGAGGCTATTCACGTTCATACACATATTTCTTCGAAAATGAATTGGTAACTTAACGGGAATGTTGATGAAATCTTCGCATAGTTACATGAAGTAGTAATGAAAATAATGATGCTAATATCAGTTAGTGACTATGCAAATGTCATGATGAAATAGGTATATAGTGATCGGCTTGTAGAGTTTGTGGGAATCGATAAGATATTAGTTACGTAATAAGTGTGTACTACGATAGTGACCGATTACATATTTTTTCAAAATCAAAAAGAGATAATTGGATGAGAAACCATAAGTTGTTCACAAGTTTAGAATTTCACTTGTAAACAGTTGACTGCATAATACGTAGCTTCTACTGTACCAAATTCAGTAGTTAGTTCAAATCATAGATTAATAATAAAACAACAATTTATGAATATTTCAAACAATAATTGTTTTAAAAGGCAAACAATTTATTAGTAGCTTAAAAATCTCAGTTTACTCAATACTTTCTAATTAGGTTGATTTCCAAATCTATTTCATTGGTCAGTATGAACAGTTCTGCTTTTTGCTTGCAAAAACTGTTTTCGCCCCTCTGAGGATGATCATATCGACTGTGTATTCGGTCATGGAGAATCGTTCACATTTGATGGGAATACTAAGTACGTAATGCGCTGGCGTGTGTTTTGACATTACAGAGATAACTACAATGTCAACTGCTATTTTGTGTTGTGAGAAAATAATCTTAGTTGACAGTTTAGTCCTTAGTTAGTCAAATAACTGAACTCATAAGTCTGATCACCTATCCAATATGTACAATTCTCCTACAATTACTATCTTTTATAAATCTACGTCTAAATTGTAAAACCCGATTCCAATCAATGACTTTTAACACATAAAATGTGTACGTCCTTTTGTTTTCTAAATAATTTATATTATTGTTTCTAGGTTGCAAGCACTCGAATAGGATTCACAAAATAAGTCAATTGATATTATTCTGTTACGATTATTGATCCTTCTTCATTCGATATGTATATAAGTTAATAAAACAGAGAAGTAGAACGACCACCTTCCGTACAAAACATATGAGATTAAATTTATTGTATCCAATGAATAAATCTATATTTCTAAAAAAAATCTTGATTTCTGACCAAGTTGAAAGAGTTAGTCATACAAAACGTGTAAGCCGACATAAATGTCCATCAGTTAAAGTTGTCACACCACATAGCGCAATGAGACGCTAGAGTAGTGTAATTAGTAACAGTATTACTGGTAGTAGAAAACACTAGTCATAGAATGTATGATTCCAGAAAATATAGATTCGTGAGGTGAGACAATTGGGAAACTTAGGATCTAAGGGAAGACAAATAGTGAATGAATCTGTGCCATAGCGACCAATTCTGAGCCACGTCACTCATAGTCTTTAATTATTCATTATTATAGTCACCCGGACCCCAAACACGTAGTATGCACCTACCTATACGCTTCAGTCAAACAACTAATGAATTCACAGACTGAAAGCGCGACGTTCAAATGATGCAATATTGATCTTCCCTAACAGAAATCGAAATTATAAAACAATCTTATTACACATGGTTAATACACCGTTCTGTTTAGAGCACTTAAGACTTCTTTTTATACAATCACATTCATAGACGATACAGGGAGTATAGGTCTAATCTAATAGACTGTACCATTGATAATTTTCATAATAAACTTACAAGAGCGAGGAAGTTGTTGACAAGTCCAAGACCAATCAAATAACTATCTCCTTCTAATCGAGGACTATGTAAACAAAGTAAATTAACAGATTCAGGACCTTCAGCGTTCAAAGAGAGTACGAAACTATTACACTATTGACTTGAAATTCATTGGTTTACACTTTCAACTTTAATCAAATTGTGATGCAGTTCAATTTTTATCCAATGTCATTCGTGAATAATTGTTTCACTCCAGACTAAGTTAACTTCAACATTTATGGAATACCAGTAGAATTTCGAAGATAACCATACTGAAGCTAGTTACAAATGAATATGGAATAATTATTAAGTTGAATGAGCTTTTGAAAACGCTTGAGTTGATTAGATCATTTTGACTGCAAGCTTAATTATTTGTTACCCACAACGTAACTGATATTATCTTGTTTCAATTGTTTGGTACAGTAGGGCATTATGTAATGTACCGCAAACGATGAAATAATATTATGAAGTAAAAAAGAGAGAAACTATATAGTAAAAATACAAATCATAAATATTAAATGATGTAGTCTAATTAACACTATAACCTAAATGAGGAGTGAAGTGAAAAACTAAGACATGGTCGTAACTATTGCTTGATGTAAGAATTGAAAGTCTTGAAATTTGATCCCATGTCATGTGGTGAGGAAGCACCATTGAGTCTCAAACTAGAAAGAAACAACATTCCGATGCTTCACACTCTCCACTGATTCCCTAACCGGTAACAACCAGTGGCGAAAACTACATCTAAATCACTTTTGTTAACGTAATGCAACTTAATTATGTGTTGAATATATACACAGGAAAACGGTGTTCTTAACTGATTACTACTTATACGCAATGCAGTAGTATATTGCAAAACTGCAAATACTATTGATTTTCAGTCTTATATAGAAGTAAGCATGATACGACATTCCTAAAAGATGACAAAGGAAATTGCTTACTTTGAACATAGTTTGATAAATTTATCTAAAATCGTGGTGAGATTCGAAGAGGAAGAAAATGCATACGTCGAGGTAAATCGCATTACATGCTCTTTCAAACTTAAAGAAGCCAAAACTGAGGCACGATCAAGTAGTTTAGGGGTTTCCTGAAAGAAAAGATGAAATAAAATAGCAATAAAGAACAAATCCACCCGTTAAATTTCTAAAACGATATGTGGCTGCAGCTGAATGTCATTCGCAATCTGGTGGTTTTTATGGAGAAAGAAATGAAGATTTATTCAAGACGGAAGTGGCTGAACCAGACACTGGCTCAAAAGTTCATGAATACCTCATGAAGATGAGGTCAAATGAAGATAAAGTGAGCCAACTTCATCTCTCCAAAAAATTTAAATACGACCAATTCGCACAAAGCACTGAGTTTTTGGAAAATTGTATAATGAGCAGTCATCGAATTTCAATATTCGTTATAGTTATCTAAAGATAACCAACGAATTTGATAATATATATCTTATTTATTCGGACAGAGTGAATGTCACATACAAAAACGTGAACCTTGTTTCAATAATTCAAAGTTAGTCCAATTGCGATATACCTGTATGTAGAACGCAGCTTTGGAGACAAACTGAGCCTACATGAATTACATAGATTGTTACTGACAAGTCAAAATGTAAAACGTGGTTATTCATATTGTGAATGGAATGACGACATAGTGTTTTTGTATGACGGTTGGAAAAATAAACATGTATAATATTACCCATACATGTCAAGATCATACAAAAGGATCCTTCAATCTTTACTTATACCCACATGCCCTGATACTCCCATATAATGAAGGCATGAGTAGTATTGATGCAGTTCAGATCAATAACGTAAAATTATTTGTAACGTGGATACATAAAGACCCAATATTATTTCATGAGGGAGGTTGAATCATATATGCATTGAACGAAGGAGAAGAGCATAGAAGTTGGAGGATAAATAGAATTTTTAAAATGAAGTTGAAAAAACCAACTGGAAGCTGGAACACGACCAAGTAACCGGCTGAGATCCCAGCGAGTACGAAATAAAACTACTACCTATCGAATAGACTTTGTACGGGAAACGTATTCGATTTAAAAAAACAAGGGGAGGTGATATGAAGAGTTAAAAAAGCGAAGTTGCATTTTTTTACTCATTGTGATTTTTGTCCAACATTACTTCCAGCTTTTTTAATTCAATATTATGGTGATTCAAAGTACTAGTTATTTAGTGTTCCAGTGTGATATTTTATTTTTTATAACATTGATTTGTTTGATTGTGATGTTTTTTCAAGATACAATATTCTTGTAATAAATTAACATGAACAATTCTCAACATGACACACAGCATGTGATTTGTTATAAATCTGGGTACTTTTCATATATGTAATTTCATCCTAATTAATAATCAAATGGGTTTACAATCAATACATAAACGAGTTTGTTTTCGATTAGGGTTGTCGTGTTTTGAGTTAAATAAATATTTACTCGTACCAGTCTTGATGTTGTTACTTCGCGTCGTATAAGTAATAAACTAATCGAACATAACAACTGACGTCATAACAATAATTCAATAAAATGATATCATCAGGTGGAATATGGTTTGTTTAATCACGCGTAGCCATAATTAAATACAGAGCATACCTTGAATATACTTGAGGACGACAAAAATTACTACAAAGGCTGTTAAGTCTTAACGAAAAGACCTAATTGCCTGCACAAATGAGAATTTGTGTAATTTTCGTCAATCTTATTTGCTTACTTATTAGTAGTTGAAAAATAATGAATTTAAAAAGATAAGTACTACCCTAGAGAAGTATTAAACTTCCCTAGACTTTATATGTTGGTAGTTTTAGGAAACACTGAACTTACATCAGGCTCAATTTGAATTCCGCCCTGAATAGATCGAGGACGTTTAATCAGTGGCTCATTTGGATCATCCGAATCTAAAAAATTAAGGATCCTAATATTATTCTCAATCATGGAAAATAATATTTTAATGCAACAGTTTGCGTGATGATAACGGATACTAGAAATACGAATACAGCTGGGATTTATTGTTTTAGGGTGAACGAACCTAAAAGCTGATTGTAATATCAATCTTATATAGATCTAATGGAAACAATAAAAAAAGTGAGAAGTACTACGGCAATTCGCTGTAGATTGTTTTATTTAAAGCTTGACACTTTATAAGTCATAAAATTTTAGTTATATTTTTAGAGAAAAGGCAGTTCAACTGTTTAGGTGAAGTCTGTTAAGCGAACCAATTCTTTCTAAAATATGTATGCAAACGGATCATTTTCGTAAATTAATCATCTCTATTAAAATCTAAAAAACATTTAGCTGTATAATATTAGAAGTTAAGTAAACTAGATCTAGAGATATTAGGTAAAAGATGAACTTTTGTACATAGAATACATTATTTCACTTACATAAATATGCACTTAGTTACTACTTGGCAGACAGGCAAAGAGAGATAACTAGTTATTAAACTTCTCATGTCTTAGTGGTTATCTTAAATGATGTAAAATTTTACTACAAAAATACATACAATATGACTGATTAAGAAATTCTCTTGAAGCTTCTACAATGAATTGTTGTTCCGTTTCTACATATACAATCTCTCCATTAGCAGGTTTCGAACAGGGTAATCCAAACTCTTGTTCAATTTTTGATTTTAAGAAATCCATCTTAATTGCTTCTCCATGTACCAGCATCACATGTTTAGGCTGACAATGAGATATCAACTGCATAATACCACGAGCATCTGCATGAGCTGAGAACGACAAGTATTCAACTGACATTTTAACTTCTAAAACTTGTTTATCGAATTCAAGACGCCTGACTCCATTTAAAATCTGAAAACAATAAAATAAGACAGGTAACGAATTATAACAATAATTTTCTGTAAAGGATCAAAAAATGATAAATAAAATACCATAAACATAATTTTTTCGAGCTAAGATTAGTCATTTTCTTTTGCGCTATTATCCAACAAAAATATAAAATAATTTCCACTATAGATTACAATTTTAGTTTTTCTCTTGAAACACTGCTTGATCTTGCACTGTTAAACTTTAATGCAAAACAGTAACAGTTCAAATAAGTCATTAGTTCATTTTAAATTCTATCATTTACTGTTATATTAAACTGTCTACTAATGATGGAAAGTCTTTAGGCAAAAAGAAATTTATTTTATTTTCATAATCTTATCCTAAACTTGTTAAGAATAGGAATTATTTTATGGTAATCTTAAACAAATTTACTATAAAAACATATACACACAAACCTTATAACCCACAGTTCCAGCAACACAATATCCTGGAATTACAACCATATTTCTTTCATCTGAAGCCCATTTACGAAATATATGCAAGGATTGTCCAGCGTGAAGCATACCTGGTGTGGCAAAGACTACCATTGGTCCTGGATTATCGACTGTTCCTTGCCCAAGAGGCTATTTCAAGATATGAAAATATCACAATGAACCAGAACTTGAAATTGCTTCAATGATACTTATGTTTGAAAAGAAATTATAATTAGGATGAAAATGTTAATTTAAAAAATTAATAGAAAACAGTCTAGCGGTCAGTTGGACTAATGTTACTTATACCAATTTCCTAAACTAAGAAACGAGAGAGCTCAATAGCAAAGTGAGATAAGGAGGGAAAAGTGAATTATCTACTGAAATGAACCAGGGGGATCAAGCCAACTGAAATTAACTGATTTATATAAAAAGTCTTATTATACTAACCGTGACATGTTGGTGTCTGATGGAAATTTATCTTCAAAGGAAATCTGAATTAAATAATAATTTATTAATAGAGTTCTCTCCCGACAGTCATAGTCTGATGTGTCAAAAATCCCCAGCTATTTAGGTTCAGTCAATCAACAATAAGAAATGTTAAGCTCTAATCAAAATTGTTACTTGTTGAACAAGAGGCAGTTATTATTCAATGGAAAATACTGATATTTGAAGTAGGATCGGTAGGGAATTTAAGTACAAGTACATCCCGAAAATGAGTCTTGAGTAGGATGAAACATAGATTTAGGATTGCACGGTTGGTCACTACCAAATAATGCGGAAAGAAGCAAATGCTATCAGAGATATCAGTGATTATTCTAATAGTAGTCTCCATATTGTGGGAGTGCTGAACCGACAACTATTACGAAGTGAAATTGTCTTAAAACACCAACATACACAGCGACAGTATACCACACTAGCTATTCGAATTACTAATAGATTGGCATTTGTTGATATAATCTTAAAGGTCAAGTAACCCCAGTAAAGTGAGATATCACATTTGGCTTTGAGAAATGTAGTGGTTGTGCTATACCTTTCCTTACTGTCTTAAAACTTGAGTTTGAAACAGACTAATTGCTGTAAAAGCTGACAAAAAAGAATCGATTTTATTGAGCTCACTTTAATACCACTTGATGAGAATCATATGCCAATGAGTGAACAAAAAGTAAAACAATAATCAACCTTTGCGGGAATATACAAAGTAAACGAGTCCATGTCATTGTTATGTCCACAAAAGTGTATTACAATTAATTATTAATCTATCTAGAGCTTTAACCATAAAGATTATAACTCAATGCTCGACGGACACCAACAGCTATTACCTTCATCGGCTGGTACTTGATGTGGTTATCAATGACACTTCGAGACTTTCTATTTTAGCAAACAGTATATAGTTGAGGTAGAGTAGATAAGTCGGTAAATCTGTCATACGCAACATAGAAACTGGTACGTATGTAAGTAGATTTAGGTTACCACACCAAGATGAAATTATCACAGCGAATCTCAAAACAACATCAAGAGTGGATGAATAAATGTTTTAATCACCTTGGTGGTTTTATTTATTTAAACACATAAACATTGGTACAAGGAGGCACCAAATATATATGCGCTACATAGATCATTCGATTTGTGCGAGGGTTAGGATACTGCCCGGTTGCCCAAAGCAGGTGGTTTTCTTAGATGGCCACAGCCCGAGCCTTTGACCTAAAGGTTTGATCCACAAGGCAGTGGAACATCGTGAGGAGATGCGATCTCATGGCAGCCGGTGACCAACAATTGGTTCATACGCTATTTGTTGCTTCAGGATACTGGAGCCCATGTACACCATTAGTTTGGAATGGGGGTTTTCCAGCTCCCCTAGGTGGACTCTTCGTGTCCACCGGCCTGGTTAGAGCGCCGGACATTCACTTTTCGTCCTCTCAATTTCGTAAACAAGACCTGTGGTGCAAGAAGGCAGTGAGTAGGACTTCCCTGTCAGAGGCTGTATACGCGTGGCCATGTGAGAGCATTTAGAGAGGGTTGGCGGACCCTACCCACTTTCGACCGTACTAGGGCATTTGGGGGTAATAATACATGCACAACTAACGTATCTTTCTTGCTCATACATTAACCTGACACAGTGCTCAATGGGTTGCGCCATAATAGTTAAGCGGTGATTTTTATGAACTCATAAAATAAAAACAGAGCAGTGAGTAACGTATGATGACTAGTGATCTATTGACGTTTTGTGAAAGTAACAGAGAAATTGGTTTATTGGATTCGTCTGAAAGAGATTTCTAGTGGATGTGATGCAATTAAACCCATAAATTCTTTTAAAACGTGCTTAAGTGGGAAGCTACGTAAATTGTACCTACCTTTATATGTTTAAAGTCAAACATATTTCGTTTTACAAATGTCTCCTTGATTTTTTGATTTGTCCACGAGATAAATAACTTGTAATACTCATTAGCCTAAATAAATGGTAATTAGGTGGCTCAATGTTCTTGAAAATACTTTTTCCGCCATTCCCATGGAGAAGTATATTGGGACGGAAATATTCATTCTTTCCCAATATGTTTCAAGCAATATACAAAGTTCTTGAGCTCGACCTAAGGCAAAGACAGGGATTAATACCTATCGATGTCGCAAATAATGAAACAATTACTTTACCCCCAGCCTCAACGCGAGCATGAATCTTTTCCAAAAATTCCCGTTCTCTTGTACGTTTTGAATCTCGTATCGTGGTTGCGTAAGTGCTTTCCGTAATGAGAAGATCTGGACGGCAACGAGAAACCCAAGCTGCACCAAGATGTCTATCAGGTGTCATGTTGTAATCGCCCTAAAGTCCCAGTGATATCTTTAGAAAGCAACCTACGGTATACAGGACAGAATTTGTTCCTACACGTACAAGAAACATTGCTGCTCCCAGAACGTGACCAGCATAAAATGCCTGTATTTCGAGATCATCATCTACCTTTTAAGAGACTCAAAATTAAAAATTAATGCAGTTACTTTGACTGTTTGATGTATATACACACACCTAACTTTCGTCATACACCGATATATCATATCAGAAGTGAAAAAGTTCTGATCTCCTCTTCTCTCAACATTGATTTTACGATAATCTTCCTGCAAATATAAGGATACAATATGGAAAGTACCTACCAAAAGTATTGGGCAAATTGCCTTGGTAGGATGAGTCATATATATTGGACCATCGTAGCCTATTACTTCGGTCATATAGGGAAGAGCTCCACAGTGATCGAGATGGAAATGACTGCCGATAAAAACACGAAAATGCAAACTAACTAAACATACCTAATAATCACACAATCCAGGTAATCATTGAGACCCCCTTTGTCGGTAATGTAAGTGAAGTCAGGAAATTTTCTCTTAAAGGAATCAATGACATGATTACGATGAACACTTACATCGTCGTTATAGCCCATGTGCATTCCGCAATCGAACATAATATTTTTGCCGCCCAAAGTGACAAGAATGCAACTTCTACCAACATCTTGCCCAGCGCCTATTAAGCGAAATGAGTCATGTAAATGATTTCAAAACAAATTTACCCAAAGGAATGACCCGAATGGAACTCATGACTTTACCGAAATTTTTTGTAGGTCATTGACGTTTGGCCAAGGACTAATTGGGATAAATAAATGTTCTCAGACGTTTAAAAGCAGCAGTACTAGTAAGAAATAGAACTTATTGAAACGACTGACGACAATGTTCTTAAAGTGGAAAAACACTGAAAAACTAGAAACACTCGTTTTAATGCAATACACATGTTATATAGGATGAGTCATGATGAGTGTGAATATGGTGTTTAGGTTCATTTGGCTAAGTCCGAATTCATGAAATATTTCAACTTATTTCTCGCTTATTTTGTTTTTTTTATAAACCAGAAAAGGATTATTGTTGTGTGGTTTTTATTTTACTATTGATTCTCTAAATTAACACACTTTTTAAAGCGATAGGAGAAAGCTCAGTACAGTGATTTCCAATCGAAGATAGGTATAATTGAGAAGCTATTAAACTATCATATTTGTCAACAAATAGTGGATTCGGTAAATTCTGCTCACACATACATTAACTTTACTTCAGTCACTTCTTAATATGATTGCGTAAGTGACTACCAAAAAGACGCATTCTCCTGTCCGAACAATATAAAAACATGAATAATTCACGAATACCTGTAGTGAGATGAGCAAGCTAAAAGTGGTTACGAAAAAAAACCTCCCCATCAGTATTCTTGAAAAGAGATCTAGGCCAGGAATAATACGGTACAAAAAAGAAGACAGATCACCAAATCTTAGATTTATTAGCCAAGTGAAACTGCCTTTAAAAAAGCATCATTCGGAGTTTTGTGAGAATGTCCATGATAATAAGCAGGGTACTTAAATTAAGGTGTCACTAGATCAGGAGAATGTTTGATATATTACTTTTCGTCATTACAGCCTTTAAAAAGATGAGCTAGAGTCAATTACAATTAGATTTTGTCTGGATGTCGATTACGGGCACTCAGGACGAAGTAATTAAACTAATGGATAAAACCAGCAGTGGAACCTAATTTCATTGAACTGAATAACTTATTGAGTCGAAAACGACATTTAACTGTTTTACCCAAGTACCGTAGCTAACTATCGGCCGTATGTCGTAGTGACTTTTTGAGAGCTTCAGAATTCAGACGTTCTTTAGGATAGACTACAATTCACGGGAAGACCAATGAGGTGAGATGGCAGTTCTTGGACTTTAGTTGAATAGGATTTTAACATTTCCACTGTTGCCAGTTCGTGATGGAAACCCTGACTTCCAATCATAATTCCTTGCACTGACCTATAGTCATTTTAGGCCCTATTAGGTAGGTGAGCTATTTTAAAGTCGCTTTATTGTCGCTCCATTGAGCTAAAACCTTCAAAGCTTGTCTATAACCCAATCTCTCTATTTTGGAGAAACCGCTACAGAAAATTTTGGGGGAATGGCACAAAACCCCCAAAATTTCCCTAGATGCGAAGAAATTCCCCCAAAGTGAGGGCTCACGGTTTTTCTTAAACTTCACTCTATTTTACAAAGTCACAGTAGGATAACGTGTACTTTGGATTTTACATGTTTGTTGGGCTGAATTATAAATTGGCAAATAATCCTGAGCATATACATGTAGATGCAACAGTTTTAACGGAAGCGCAATCGTTTGAAAAGCCGCTCACAATATAAAATACAGCTGACTACTTTGTAACAACCTTGCATGAACTGAATAACTTCTTTACGCTTAGTCATTGCTTTTTCAGTACCGTCACAGATCTTCAGCAATGTCAAGTGGTCGATAGTTTAGTCAATCGTCTGTTTTGCGGTTATTTGTGGGTTTGTGTTAATTTATAACTTGAGTGAGTGGGTTGGTATCAGAGCAGTAGGATCACTAGACAGATGGTTGGTTGATTGGACTGGGAGAATGATACACAGAAAATTTGAATATTGAGAGAAGACGATCGTTTGAGGAACTAATTAAGGTGATTAGGTAGTAATGCAGACAGTGTCAGAAGGCGGAAATTTAAGAACTAAAGAGGAAACGATGATAATAATCGAAAAAGTACTTACCAGAATGTGAGAATGATGACGGTAGGTAAGTTACAAGACATACGTCAAGCATAGTTAACCAAGTGAGTGATTACGTGTTTACTGGTTCAACAGGTACGTGACACCTAGTATGTTTACTAGTGATGTTTCCGACCCTTACGAAATCTTAAAACGCTCGATTCTTAAACGAGGAGATCTAACCGATCGACAAAGGTTAGATCAACTCTTCAATAACATCGACCTGAAACACGGTTCTGCGACAGACATGTTGCAACAGATGAGAGAGATTATAGGCCCAAGAACTTTCGACGAAGGTCTATTCAAACAACTCTTCTTGTCAAAACTTCCCCAACAGGTGCAAGCAGTTCTGGTCTCGTTCCAGAACAACGGCTTAGACGAGCTAGCTGCATCTGCCGACCGCATTCTAGAAATTACGAAATCTACTGCCGAGGTATTTTCAGTCAAAGAAAAGCCTCACACGACTCAGAACGATATAACCGACTTATGTCACACACTCACGCGTTATCTTAGTCTTCGTACCGACTTTAAGAGATCGCGCACACCACGTAGAAGCATTTCTCGTAAGCGATCTGTCTCTAGACCACGAGAGACGGATAACCCCGACGGGTGCTGGTATCATAACCAGTATGGAAAGTTTTCCAGAAATTGCAGAAAACCCTGCAATTTTCCCAACACGAAACCGACTGATTCGAAAAACAATTCGGGAAACTTCCAAGCCGGCACGCGTTAACGGCAACCGTAGCCGGCGAACATAGCCGTCTGTTATACGTCACAGATGTGACAACGAGAGTTCGCTACCTCGTCGATACTGGCGCAGAAGTTAGCGTTCTCCCAGCGAATCCGAACGATCGGCTTCAAGAATCGGCTCTAAACTTACAGGCGGCAAACGGAAAACCGATCGCTACGTATGGCAAAAGGTACGTTTACCTTAACGTGGGTTTACGCAAACCCATCCACTGGATTTTCGTTGTTGCAGATGTTTCTATACCAATCATTGGTATGGACCTTCTACAACACCACAATCTGATCATCGACACTCGCAAACGGAGGCTAGTAGACGGAAACACTAATTTGTCCGTTTGCGTAACTTCTTTTACTGGTTGCAGAGTATCCCCAGTCACAGTTAAGCATATGATAGACCCACTCTATCAACCACTACTCGATAAGTACCCTGGAATACAACAAACTCAACCGAAACTACCGTGTGTAACCAGCAACGTTACACATCACATCACGACTACAGGACCACCTGTATTCTCTAAAGCACGACGACTAGCTCCTGAAAAGCTAAGGTTAGCGAAAAACGAATTCGATCACATGATGGATTTAGTAATCATACGACCGTCAAGTAGCCCATATGCATCTCCGTTGCACATGGTCCCTAAAAAGGACAGCAACGATTGGCGTCCAACTGGTGACTATCGGCGATTGAACGCGAAAACCATTCCCGATCGTTACCCGTTGCCTCACATTCACGATTTGACAGCTACCTTGAAAGGTACAACTGTCTTTTCGAAAATCGACTTGGTTAAAGCATATGACCAAATCCCTATGGCTACTGACGATATACCAAAAACAGCTATCATAACTCCCTTCAGACTCTATGAATTTTTGCGAATGCCTTTCGGTCTAAGAAATGCTGCTCAAACATTCCAAAGATTCATAGACGACGTTTTTCGAGGTCTCAACTTCGTACACGCGTATGTTGACGACTGTCTAATCGCAAGTCCGGATAGAGAAACACATCTCAAGCATCTGGATCTTGTTTTCGAACGACTACAAAAACATGGCATTACTGTAAACGTTCAGAAATGCCAATTCGGAACCGACTCGTTAGATTTCCTAGGACACACTATCGATGCTCAAGGTATCCGACCCCTTAGAACCAAAGTGGTGGCCATTCTGGATTACCCAGAACCGACCACCGTCAAGCAATTGCACACGTTCAACAGCCTTGTAAGTTTCTATAAACGTTTCATACCGAAATGCGCATTACTTATGAAACCTCTGACCGACCAACTTCGTGGAAATGCGAAATCCATTAATTTGGACGACACCGCACGAAAAGCATTCTCCACAGTTAAGGAACTGATTGCTAAAGCAACAATGCTCGCACATCAGGACACCCGAGCACCCATTAGCATCGCAGTAGACGCATCCGACTCAGCAATCGGAGGAGTCTTACAACAATGGGTTAACAACTCCTGGCAACCCTTGGCATTTTTCTCTAGAAGGTTGCTAGACACCGAATCAAGGTACAGCACATTCGGTAGGGAACTCCTAGCTATGTATTGTGCTGTACGGCATTTCCAACACTACATCGAAGGTCGTGAATTCACTCTTTTCACGGACCATAAACCACTCACTTTCTCGTTAAGCTCTCCTTCTGACAAGTACTCCCCCCGTGAGTCTCGACAACTGGACTACATTTCGCAGTTTACTTCAGATATTCAACATATTTCTGGAGCAAACAATGTAGTGGCAGACGCTTTATCTCGTATAACTTCCTTGAACAGTTTCCAAGGAATCGACCTTCTTAAACTCGCCGAGCTTCAAAAAGAAGACAGTGATCTTCAGCACGAGTTATCGTCCACAACACTTAAACTACGCATCAAACAGATGGGAACAGATAAGGAAACCTGACTTTGTGACACATCTACAGATAGGGATCTTCCAATCGTGCCGAAACATTATCGACGCAATGTCTTCAACACATTGCACAAACTTTCTCATCCAGGTGTTCGTGCAACCATCAAGCTTATAGCAGAACGGTTTTGCTGGCCTGGAATGAATAAAGACGTGAGGGAGTGGGCACGCTCCTGTGTAAGCTGCCAAAAATCTAAGGTCATCAGACACAATAAATGTCCCTTAGGCTCGTTTAAAACTCCCGATGCTCGTTTCGACCATGTTCATCTGGATTTGGTAGGACCTTTACCAGATTCAAATGGATACTCTTATCTACTAACTTGCGTAGACCGTTTCACTCGATGGCCAGAGGCAGTACCTATCAAGGACATCACTGCTGAAACAGTGTCTCGCGCGTTCGTCGAACAATGGGTAACAAACTTCGGCTGTCCTTCAACTATCACTACAGACCGCGGACGTCAGTTCGAATCTGAACTTTTCCGTTGTCTGGCCAAACTTTTAGGAATCACTCGCTTCCGAACGACTGCCTACAGCTCACAAGCAAACGGGTTGGTAGAACGTTTTCACCGACAACTAAAAGCTTCGCTATCAGCTGCAAACGTTTTACAGTGGACCGACGCTCTTCCACTCGTCTTACTAGGTATTCACAATGCAGTGAAAGCTGACATTGGATACATTGCGGCTCAACTGGTTTATGGAACGACACTTGGACTTCCAGGAGAATTCGTGGATCCTTCATCCTATTCAATGAACATGGGTCTAACCTCCTACTTGAACAGGCTTACAAACGCAATGCGTTCAGTTAAACCTGTTTCCACTCGACCGCAATCAACTGATGTTTTCGTTCAACCTGACTTACGATATAGTACACACGTTTTCATTCGTCGAGACTCGCATCGACGACCATTCGAATCAGCATACGAAGGACCCTTCAAAGTTCTTCAACGTGAATCTAAGTACTATATAGTCGATAAGAACGGAACCAACGATAGCATCAGCATCGATCGCTTAAAAGCAGCGTATTTAGAAGGAAATCCTATCTACGTGGATCTTCCTTCGGTACAATCGAACGACACGACTCCGACACTTATAATACCTCATTCGACAACCAACACACACGATGACACTTCGACAGTATCCGAAAATAAACTTAAAACGACGCGTTCTGGAAGAAGGGTGAGATTTCCAGTACATTTAAACGACTATTGCACGTAAGGCAATTCTCGACATTTTATTTTTTTTTTTAAAAAAAACAAAAAACAATTTTAATATGCTTATATATTTTAATTTCTATTTTAAAAAAAACAAAACAAAAAAAACAATTTTTTAACGCTATTACGTGTTCATGAGTTTATTTTCCATTTTTTAGCCGCCGACATTGTGTATTTCCGCACATACGAGTGTACTTTCGACATGCACTTACATTTTCTTTTTTCTTTTCCAGGACGGCTGGAAAAGAACGATGACGTTTATGAGGATCCGAACTTTTCATTGTACATTTTCTTTTTTTACTATGTTGTACCACCGTCCCATATAGTAAGGAAAGATGACCAGACGCTGTTACACTTAGTAAGCTATCAGAAGAGTGTTTACCAACGACAAAGTCGTTGCGTTTAAACTTCTGGCTGGCCACGTCTTAGGGACATCACTGCCCCACTAGGGGTGGAGTGATCTGTAGCGGTAAATAAATACCTAAAATAAATAGCTCTGTAAGTTTTCGACATTGGATGCTGACCATATGTTTTAGTGGACTCATCTAGCTGAAGGCGCTCGGTCAGGCATCCGCACCAGACACGTGTGGTAACGCCGTGCTCAACATCAACCGCAATCGCTAGCCAGCTTAGATCAGAGAATTCCGATATATTGGTCATCGCCAAATATACTATTCCGATCTCCTCGACCCT